CGATTTTTTTATAACTTTATTTAATTATTTCAAATTATTCTATGATGGTGGCCCAGGCTTTAAAGTCAGTTGATTTTTGAGATACCCCTTTCCACCCTTGGTCTAAGAATCAGCCGATTTTTCTATCGTATTCAGCAGGCCCGATTGTATTAGCTATACAAATTTCAAGGAAGCTAAAATAGGTGAGGTCAGACAGTCCGTAGTTCCTTGTCTAAAATCGATTGATCTTTATTAGTTTACATAGATCAATATGATTATTATGATTTCGGGTAGCCAATAATAAAAACGACCACAAAAAAACAAATAAAATAATATAATATTATGATTCAATGTTTTACCTTACAGTGGAAGAAATATGTTTTCTGAATAACATATATTTCCATTCTGAATATTATTGAAATAAATATTGTCAACGTAAACGACTTAAATGAGTATAAAAACAACATAACAATTAGAACAATAATAATATAACGTAAAAAAGACAAAAAAAAAAATTAATTCAAGCCGCTCGACACGATCGACCGTGACGGTAAAAATATATTCTTCAACGCGTACCATAACAACATAATATTGTAGCAAGTTACGTATATAATATTATAATAGAAGTACCTACTGCGTATACAACAACTATGGACGGCCAAGTACCCACAAGTACCTATAGATATACTCGTATGTGATTTCCGTACCATATTACGACTGTAATCACTGCAGTGACGAATGGTGTCTAAATATCATATTATTATTATTATTATTGTTTCACACACGCAGTGTTATCGTCACGATGGGGTCACGAAACATAATTGCCAAACGGGCATAGAATCACTGTCTTTTCGGTGCAGCTGATATCTCGATGAATGCATTACATTATTGTAATATTACAAGTGCCTATATGTATGTGCTCGTCCAACGGGACATTGTGCGCATAACACTGCTGCAGTGTACCATGGTTATAGCCTTATAGGTACACTTAAGTGTACTGCACGGAAATTCGTTAACATTCATTAGACATGCACCGCGATGTATATTATGATTGTGGAAAAAAAAACAATGATATTATTATCATTTATCACAGCGAATCGGTACGAAATTATAATATTATTTCAGTCTGAGATGTATATTATGGTAGGTATTTAGTACCTAATAAGTTTAGTAACTGCAGGAGCAGGTAATAATTGATAAATTATTTGTAATGTCAAATATAAATTGTCTTCTTACTGAGCCTAGTATTGGATAAAATCAATTTTTAAAATTAAAATTGGACGCAATATATTTACCTAGATACAGATAAAATATGGGATCAATTGTTTGTCTAGATTATGTTAACTAATTTCAGGTGATCCCTTGCGATTACATGATTGAGATCAATTAATATATGTTATAGTATTTTATATATATTATTATTATAATATTATTTGGTTTCCCTCAATGGTACATAATTGGCTTCGCGATTAAAATCAATCTGGACATTGCGTCGGTTAACTTATTTACCGACACTGAACGATTTTATTGTGATACAATTTTATGGTATAGTATGACGTGTAGACGTGTAGTATTATACAAATTATTATTACTAGGTAGGTACGACTGCAGCGTATAATTACGACAGTAAATGCAGTATATCATGTATTACCTACATATCATCACAATAATATAATTGTATTTAATTTAATATAATGATTTATGACTAACTGTTTCTATGATAATATTATCGTTATTAATTCTCTGATTTATTATATACACAGGCCATACCAGGGGTCTAGTGGAGTGTATAATAGTCTAGCGGCTAGTGGACGAACTTCATCTGGCCCGACAGGACATATTATCTTTTTTTAGATTCTTCAAATGAGATATTAACAAAATTTAATTATTTACACTTTTTTGATTTCGCCTTTACATGATATTTTGGTGACCCCAAAAAAGTCCTATATTCCCAAAGTGTCCCTCCGAAAATATTAATTAGTAATCCCTGGGGCTGGGCTGTATTATAATATATTATACATATGTTTTAATAGTAAGATATAAATTATTATTTCTGTATAAAATATTAAAACATTATTGGCGGACAATAATAATTTTATAATCGATAATAATATATAGGTGTGTGATTTATTTTATTATTTTATTTGTTTGATACCAGGTAGTTTTAAGTTTCAAATACGTCCTATAAACAATACAAAATACACGCAGTGAGAATCCGTTGAAAATATTGATTTTGAAAAAAAAAACTTACAATAGATAATAATAATGTGTGCGTATACGTAGGTACTACAATACGATTGAGACGATTGAGTGCACAACGCCCGATATCCAAATGGTACATTATTGTAAAAATATTATAATATGTATCCCGAGAATATGATATTCTTTTTCGCCTAAACAATAAACGTCTAAAATGGAGGCATTGATCGATGTATATTGTAATAAGAGTGAGTGTTTAAACACAATACGCTCGTTTCTTATCATGCGTTAAACTATAATAATAACGACAAGAATAATGTTGTGTACCTATAGTCGTTGTACATTTTATGAAGATTTGTTTCTTTATCTATAAACAATATATAGGTAGGTAGTGTATCACTACGCACCTATCTCATTATAATATTTTGTATACATGGTCCGTGTAGTAGTATATATACGACCGATATTTATACCGCCGGTCTGGTTTAAGGAAAATCAATAATGATAATAATAATTGTTGTACAGTCGGATATTGTTCTGGTATATTGTCTGCGTATCGCCCCGAGCTTTTATTCGTAGGTCGTCTCCGGTACACAGTCAGGCGTGGACTGGCCATGATGCTGGGATGCTGCAGAATCTTTTGCCCTAAAATATAATTTCCTAATATTGTTTATTGTATATATTTTAAAGACTCTGGACACCTAGTGAACAGCAGATCGTTACCAACTTACGGTTATTAGTAATCTGTAATGTTGTACAGTTTTGATTGAAAGTTTGTTGTAACTTGGTACTTATTTACGCTTTTAACGTATAAGTATTCAATATTTTTTAAAACGAAATGAAATATAGGTATATAAATATTTTACAAATAATCTATACGTGTTTTAAATTTTTCCAAAAAATTGTTGTTACCTTTACATTGTGTTGCATCCCGTGTCCTATTTTACAAGTCCGCGCCTGTTGGTATTATCATTGCCGGTCGGCGTGTTGAAGTCGACGGAATTCTTGCGGTAGGTACCGTCCGAGTAAATAATTTGCGTCGAGTGGAAGAAAAGAAACGTTTATTTATATTTTATGTCAAGCCAGCTGCGCTGCTGATGGTTCGTGTACCGGCAATTTATAGCGACGTGTGCCATAGATATTATATCATTATTGTTTAATAAGGACATATTTTTTGGAATGCGTCATTTCGGGTGGTGGTCAAAATAATTACCCAGGTATGTATTTCAGCCTAGGTGATTTCCACCCATTTAAAAAAAAATGAATAAAAAAACAATTTTCAAATTGAAGCGACATAAATGACTCTGAACGTGAGAAATTTATTGGAATAATAAACGATTTTATGCACATATCCACTGTTAAATCAAGCTGTCATTATGACCATGACACGTCAAAACGTTGATCTTAGAATCGGCGTTTCTCTTTCGCGGAACATGAAACTATAAATCAAAATATCTTTGTTGAGCCAGCAGTCTTTAGATTTTTGAGTCAAAATATATTGTTGTACGATGATCAGCGTAGATCGGTTTCAGAACGGTTTCACATAAAACATACATATTAATAATATAATATCGATAGATTATAGGCAAGTTATAAATGGTGATGCATCATAAAAAAATAATACAGTCTATGCGTTAAACAAACTAATTATTATAATATTATCATAAACACATACAGCAGTAAGTTTGTAGATATTATCATGTAATTATTTAAGTTTATTCGACTTTGACAATAGTGTCTACAGATTTACAAACTAAAACATTGCATTATTGTATTTGTCTGGTTAAAAATTAATCAAGCAATTTTTAATATGCTTGTGTGCACATCCTACAGCGTTAATATAATATTTGATAAGTATAAATAATAATTTCATTCACTATATTATTTATTTTTAATCTAGTTTATATCATATATTTATTACGTACAATGACTACAATAAGTAAAATAAATTAAATTCTCATACAACTAAATACAAATCTTACAGTTTAAAAATAAATAATTATATAAGTAATTATAACACAATATTAATATCAATAAATTATGTAATTATTCACTGGTACAAGTAATTTTTTTATTTCTATTAATAAGTAATTACATAACAGCCGAACGTAAATTTAATTTCTACTGCAGTAGGTACAACTTCTATAACTCTAACCCAGATTATGAATTATATTGACTAATATAGTTATAAGTTATAACTATTTTCTTCTTTTGCATTAAAATATTAGATAAATAATTCATGTTATATAGGTACAAAAGTGATACATGGTACATCATTATAGGTACAAAAGTGATACATGGTACATCATGAATCTAAAATGTAGACGATAGTAAATCTATAAATAAATAATAATGATTGAAACCAAACAGTAGAAATATTGTTAATACAAGATCTCAGGGAAGGTCACCAAATATTTTTAACTATACAGTGGTTGGTGAAACCATCCCCAAATTGGTGCGGTTAGGAAAATTAAATCAAACAAAATTTAATTAGATAAAACTTCTTAATATAAGGTTTTTAAATATTTTTTAACAGTGTGAACTTCAATTTTTGCATTCCTGTACATAATAATATTACAATAATTTTCACATTAATTTTCAAATCGCTTTACATTACTATTTTATTATACTTATTATATTATAACCAGAATTGTGTCATATTGTTTACGCCCCCCATGAATGAGGGGGGGTAAACAATATAATATAATATAATGTAAGTATATAATGTAATATAGTGTTATAACTTATAGAAGTTGTACTTAAAATTGACGTTCATTGGACCCCTTCACCGGATGAAGTAATGTATTTATGTATACAATTCATCACAAGGAATCACTGCGTTTGGCAAACGAGTCCAGTTGGTTTCTGTAGAGGAAACCCAGAGAAGTGATCAACAGTGACGTCAGACTCAACGAAATGGCTTTTCCCGTCAGAACTGCCAATACCGGCAGGAACAAAATCAGCTTCACTCCTGCACCGAGCATTAAAGTCTGTATGTCCCATGGTTTTTTCTTTGATTTTTTGCTCTCTGAAAAGACGACGATCAATGTAACAATAGTGTAACATCGATAACGAGTACAAAATGTAATTAACAACTATCCTGATCTTGTACGATATTAGACTATTTTATAGCAATTCGTCAACGTAAAAGCAAAATGTTAAGAACTCGCTTGATTACGGATAGGTATAGGGTACCTGGTATACTATTAGGGCAGGTGATACCAAAGACCTAACATAGTGGAAAATGTTTGCTAACCATTTTTATAACTTGAGGGGTGAAAATCTGAGACTTACTATTTACTAAATTAACAAAATCTAGTAAAATATCGATTTTTATGGAAAAAAACATAGATAAATCGATTAGCGTTGTCAGAATAGATAAAAACGTACTATCTCCTGGTCATATCCGCTATTAAAAAAATTACTGATTAATCCAAAACGAACCAGTTTTCCGCCAAAACGTAAGATGCCCCTGTCAAAAGAACAGACACATATCAACAATACCAAAATGAACTGTTTCCTTAAATTTTTTCTAAAGTATACTTTTTTTATGTTGTGCTGAAACTTAACCCGTGTTGTATTGGTAGGTTGTAAGTAAAAAAGTTAAACTAAAACGTACTACAATTTAATTTAAAAAAAATGTATTTAGTTTGAAATGAAAAATAGAATCCCAGAACACATTTGAATCGTTTTAAATAGAAATAATATATTATTAAATAATTTTTAAAAAAAATATCTTATTTTCAAAATGATTTTTCTATTTATAAATGGTTCATTTTTATTGGTAATGTTAAAATACAGAAAATCACTTCTTCTGAAAAAATCAGTATTTCGGCAATAGTACTTTTTGGATTTTCACCCCTCAATCATCGAAATCGATAGAAAATTGTTGGCCTTAGGTTTCGAGTAATCAAATAAAACTTAAAAGTATCATCACTAAAGATTTGTGCGGATACCTTCAATTTCGTTGTCATCGCCGAGCAGCGCACGTCTTGCTGAAATCCAAACGGACGAAAACACGTCTTGACATCCAAGCCTCGAAGTCTCGCCACCTCCGTCCAACCGATTCGTCAAACAGTCCAAAACTTTTGAAATCCTTCCGACCGCCGAACTCTTCGTGGCCGCCAAACCGTCTGCCAGCTCCGGTCGATCTGAGTTCGTCGTCTGCGGATGATAATTTGGCGCCGGAGCGTTGGACGAGTCGGATATCCGGCCGATGGACAACATCGACAGGAGAAAAAATATGTTAAGTTCAAATCGCATGTTGTCAGTTTTCAATAGGCTTCACTCAACTGACCGGTCGTTTTCGATTGTGCGTGCTTTTTATATTTCCATGCCAATACGATATACACACGTTTATAATAATATGCATGCGATGGTCAATCGCAGAGACATACTATTACGACAAGTATTGACCGTAAACGTTTCGACCAATTGTTAGTTATACCTATAATAATATTATTCTGCACGTTTATAATTATTACCTATCATAATATTTGTCCGCCAGTCGCACTAAACGATCGTTCTACTTAGATGACATACATGTTGGACACGAATTATACTTAAAACTCGAGTAGCTAGTGATCGCATTTGAGCGTATAACTACCGACTGCATTGTTTCAATATATAAATCGTATATTTAAATGATAGACGCACTTGTTTCCATCAACATATTATACTAATAGATAGGTAAGTATTTAGTGAATAAGTGAATCTAGACCAAAGGTTGATTTTAAGTATTAAAATCGTTCTCTTGTTTTTTCAAAATATTCTAGTTTATTATTCATAAATAATTTACGTTTACCGTCGTGTTAGGGTTAATACAAAATATGTTCTATGAAGGCTGTTCCATGTACCTAGTATTTGTTATTCGTTTAAAAACAGGTATTATTATTTACTACCTACCTAAATATACGTCGATCGTAATTATTGCTCGCCACCTAGCCTATAACGTAGGTAAAACGATATTCATTATTATTTTCAAACGAATAAAATACTCCAAACAATTCCGGTATTAAACAAATATTGCGAAATATATTATAAATATTATAATATAGGATGACCGTCGCCAATTATATTCGGTCGAGCACTAAAATCGAATGACAGCGGCGTTGATCTACAAAAATTACGAAAATATTCCCGGTATACGGTTAGGTTAGACAATATACTATTTGGGTACAACACCGTACTCCGGGCCCATACGTGTTTTTTCGCATATTTATATTGTTATAGTCTCATCGCATATTATCAAAGCCCAGAGGTATTTAAACAACGGCAATCAGGATCATCTCGACACACTTTTGCAACAATGCTTAAACACTTTTCATAATAACGAATAATAACGGCCCGTTTATTGACTTTGCATGCCATTGTTGCTCACGCCAAAATCTCCATCGCCATTATACAAATTCCGGACGTCTTAGACAATGTGTACGTGCGTGGCTTGGTCTTCTACGATGCTCCATAGGTTGGAGAGTTTTCCAGGGAAAAAAATAACGCTTTCAGTTTTCATTTTAAACTAGGCATGTGCAATTATGTTTAGGTACACTGTGGACAATTTCTACGGTTCTTGTATACACCGAACCAATTACAATGTCTATGCTACATCATGATTATTTTTAATTAACTCGATTTTATTGCAGATCGGATGGATACCCTTAAATTATTGTTCGATATTAATAGATATTTGAAACGAAAATACTAAAAATCTTGATCGAAAGTCAATACCAATGCTTATCGTTGGCTGCAGACGAAAATCATTTCGGAGATATTAAATATTAAAATAAATTTTTCAATTTTCAATTTGATTCCATTTTATCATATCCTGTATTAAAATACAGGTGCATGTGAGACGCACGTCATGTAAATATTAGAGAAATATGTTATTTTATTATGAGTTTAATTATTGCTATAAACTACTAATTATTACTATCATTATAATCCTTCAATTATAAATGTATGACTTTACATAATGACCTTTGCCTAAATTTAATCTTTATGGGTCTATAGAAATTATCGATTATACCTATTTTTGAGTAATTGTAGCATTATTTTATCTGCTGGTAGAGCGACCTTTAAAACTTAATCATTACACCTGAAACTTTTCTTACAGCTCATTACTATCATGTAGAACAAATTGACAAGGTGCCCCAATAATGTTTTAAAAGTTGAATTTTAAGTACCACCGTAGTATGAAAATACCATATTATAATATGATGCATTTAAATATGTAAAAATTATCTCACAACCCCTTATGAATTAAAAACAAAAAAAATTTAATGGGATGGGCCACTGTTGCGCTCAGTCCCTCAAATAATAATATTATACAATAAATAATATCCAAATTAACAGAGGGTTATTAGCTAGATAATATTATCTCCTATTATCTCATATCTAACCTAGCTTTTGGTGAAATCGTATATTTTGTTGTAGGTACTAGTTGAAAACGCGTTAATGACGACGGTATAGCGAACAATTAAAAATACGTCCCTAGATTTCCTTCGTCGTCAACCGTCAACTACTGGCAGTTGTTGTTCGGAGATCAGCCAGCCGGCGACAAAAGAAAAGAGATTAATACTAATAATGAAAACACAATTTAAAAAAAAAAGCACACTCCTCTCTTCCTAACTGGACACGCCACGCGACTTACCTACTACCATGATACACATGTATAATAGGCACATGAAAATTCATATTATTGTATTATAATACATTTAATTAAGTACAACGATAATGATATAATATTAGGAGAGCGTGTACCATACAGTATATACAATACCAAAATAATAATAATGTGCACACGCGGTGGCGTCGTCGAGGCGGTTTTCGTGAAAGATTTTCGCCACTCGCGGAGATCAGATGTCTCCCCCCCACCACGGATCGACGGAACCTGGGTAATGTGGATATGGTCCGTCGTCGGAAAAACCGTCGGCTCAAGTAGAGCGCTTTTCATTATGTTTTACGCTCTGTTACGACCGTCCCCGTCCGCTTGACACTTACCCGACCATATATGTATCTATACACGCGCACGCGCCTTCCCGCGGCCAACTCATCTCACTTACCTACCCGCGTTCGGTCCCCTTTCCCCTCGTCCCGTCCCGTCCCCACCCCGCCGCCGGACGACGACGCCAATTCCGGTCGAATAAAACGAGCCACCGACTGCCGATCGTCGTTCAGTCGATACCGACCAACCGCCGCGGTTCTTATATTTTTGGATCAATTGCAATAGGAAAACTGCACCGCCGCTTCCGTCCGCAGACATGGATACGTCGCTACTATGGTAAATCATTATAATAATAATATTATTACATAGGTAATATTATACATAGGCATTATATAGGCACGCTGTACGACTAGGTACTTACTTACTTACGTAGGACTTTTGTTCAAAAGCTGCTATTATTGAGTACAAAAAACACACCAGATTTTTTCGATTTTTCATACAGTGAGCTGTGCTTGACGTTGTTGTAGGAATTATAATATCTAAAATATATTGTGTAGGTACTTTAAATAAAACGAGTTGTATCTAAAACATAATAATATATACTTCCTGATCCAGTGCTTTAAATTGATTCATATTAGATATTAGGTATTATTATACCTTGAGATATTTTATTTATGTCCTCAAAATCACTTGAGTATAAAATTAAATCTATGTCCTAATATTTCATTAGGATATCGTGAAACTATTTATAAGAAATAATATGTGAAACGACAATGACAGGATATCAAATTTTCAAATTTTCTTCTCGTCGAAAAACTTTGTAGACACTTGAAAGTTTTTGTAACTACAATCTGTTGCCACTAAAAATATATTTTTAGGATCTTTGAAAGCATTACAATGCCATGTAATATAATATTATATATCTATTCGGATTTATTGGAATATTGTGTAAGAAATACATAAAATTTCATAAAACTCAAACTTGTAAAGATCGTCAAACTTTCTAAACAATGTACAATTTCAATTTTTGGTTATGATCATGTTTATTTCAATTTATATCTAAAATTTAGTTCACTAGATAATTTTAGTTAAATATTTGATGAGTGGTGATTATATAAACAATTTTATATTGGATTGGAGACTTATGGATTGAGCTTATAAATGCTGGAAAATTAAGTTTATTTTATTTTCTCAAATATTCTAGGGTTTAAAATATATTAATTTAATAATCACCGCCATATATTAATAATTAAATAAATATTTATTATTCGATAAATAAAAACTAAGTGTTTTAGGCTCTGGCAAATGTTGGAGCGAATGTTTTACAGCAATAAAATATTGTTTAAAATATATCTGATTTTTTAACTAAGGGTTTTTTTAATAATCATAATAATCTGATGATTGATCCACACACAAATTATTTTAAGAAAGGAGGTATAATAATTAAATAAAAGTTTTTATTTAAGAAATTCAGTTTGAACTATTATGGAAGAGATTAAAGGAGATCCGCTTGCATATTATAATAATATATAAAAAAAAATTAAAAATCAACAAATATTTCTAAAAAATCTGTTTTAGAATGCAATGTAATATGCCTTAATTAAAATAATTTTACCCCTCTTAATCTTTAAAACTATATTGTAGTTTATTTTGATTTGAAAACATTTTGGATGTATTTATACATTTTTTTAGACAACTTAACTGGAAATTTACTTAGGATTATTAAGAAGTTCTAAGCTTTTATATGCTGAATATTAATTGTCTATTGATAAAATTTATTTATCGACTACTGTGAGATTTTCACCCGTTTCATTCATTTAAAATCCATTGTATTATGTTCTTTAAGAAAATTATGATTTAACTTTATGTAACTTCCATGTAAAACAAAATAGGTACTGGTTACTAATAATTATAATAAATGATAATACAATAGAATAATATAGAAATCAAAACTATTGGTTTATTTCATATTTGTGACCCTTGCGTCTGTGGAATAGATTTAAATTATCAAAATTCAATTGTTTAAAACCTTTAATTAAAAAAAATAAAACTATATAATTATATGGTTAAAATCATATTTAAAAAATATCATTGGGAAAACCACCATCCTGGGTATTATGTAAATATTGTTTGATTTTTTTTTTCTAACAAATAACTAATTATTACGACTATAATATATTCATTTATTTTTACAAAAATGACCGAATATGGTACACTAAAATTACTCGTTATACATATATACTTGTTGAATGTCTTCTGTGATAAGAAAATTGTTAGTCACATATGTTATTGAGACAATACACCTTTAATATTATTATATACTAATATTACGATTTTATTTTTAAATTTTCTTTCTCCCCCAATATTTATGCAGAACGTGTGCAATCGTTACAAACATAATATTTGATCGAAAATTATATTTCGTTCATACCCGACATACTAAGCCACTGTAGGCATTTCGTTCGATTTAAACTGTACGTTACGGTGATTTTGATGCGCAAACGACGAGAAGCAATAAACAAATTCCTCGAGTGCACTGGAATGATATATTATACCTATATAATAAATTATATCGCACGATGATGTCTTCACGAATCGAATACGTTAACTATACTTTATATATTTTAAATTGGGTCATCCACGGACGTTTATTTTTTGTTGATGGACAACTGTTGTACATATTATTATTAAAAATACTTAGAGCAAAAGATAGTAATAAGTAGGTAATAATAAAAATTTGAAAAAACAGGAAGTCCGTCACTATATCGCGTATTGTCTCGTTCCGAACCAAACACACTATTGCGCGCGTGTACATATTATATCTGTATATTATTATAAACTGTAGCGAAATATGTGAAACAAATTCATTAGACATGTACAGCTCGTCTTGGCGGTTTTGATGATCGCCAGTGAAATTCATTACGCCACCACCGAGTGTTGTCGAAAACGTCCTTATATTGTACTCGTTGTACTCGTAAGTCTCAGTGTATTGTTACGTATCGCACTTGTTGCTGTCGCGAAGTTTTCAGGTGGCGCAAGAGGGTTTTCTATGGTTTTTCGCCAAAAAAAAAATAGAGTGACTATAACCACAGGTTATATTTTTCCGTATAATCTGTGCTAGAACTCTCGTCATCGATTTACACCGCCACCGGGGTATTGGCCTAGTGAACTGTTGAGGTTCGTCTCGTCGTCTCCATCGGAATGTCTGCGCACCGAGTCCGCGGTTCACGTGGCGAGAGCCATAATGACGATTTAAATAAAAGCGTCGATTAATTAATACCAGAGACAAAAGGCGGGAAATAAACAATAACTTTGCCTCGTCACCCGAAAAAGCGCGTATACACGTGGCAAAATTAACCGTAGGTCTATACACGCGCCATTATTATATCTTCGTCGTCGCCGACTTCATTATTATTATTATTACCATCGTTATTATTACTTTTATACTATTATAATGTCATTATTATATTATTATAATACGACTTGTTCCGCCCGTCTACCTACTTATACACTCATGCGTCGTGCACGCAGCAGAGACACATCAGACCATAGTCGTTGTATGAGCGCGTGCTCGAGGTAAAAGTCGACTACACAAATTAGACCATGTAAACACACAATATTTTGGCGATTCGGTGTTTAAACCCGAAAGCGATTAACATTGTTTTCAAAATAATTACAGATTTTCGTCGTATAATATAATAATAATGAGCGACCTCGCACACGCACAGGCTAATTTATTGGCGCATCATTAATAGGGGTGACACAGAAAATACGACGTTAAAGTATAACGATTAAACGATATTTTCACTCCCGGACATGTAATACTATATAGGCTTAGGTGCAACGACCTTGCGATACTTGAATACTTTGACTATAATGCGATCCAAGTATAAGCGTGATGCTCTTGACGTGATGTCCGGAAAATTTCCCTAAACGTCAATCCACCGCGAGACTCCGAAATTTCCATGTGCCCGCCTCGAGTATTTATAATAATAATAATATACCTACACTTTCTAATTCCAATACCCGTCGACAGTTACGCGAGTCGCATTTTTATATATTATCTAGACGGTTAAAAAAATTCACTGTCATGTAAATGATTTGTTTTCCGTGAAAATCTGTAATGCGTGGGCATTGTTATGAAAAGTGAATGCACATTTACGCATATCTTAGGATTTTTTTTTGCGTTTAATTTTTTTTCCATCTCGTTGAAAAGATTATAAATACTTAGATTATCATATTAATATTGTAATCGGCTGTTCCTTAGATTATAAACATATTTTTCCTATCAAAATAATAAAAATTATAATCCTACTTACATAATATTGTGGACGTTTTCGGCATCAGTTTTATAAACACTTTAATCAAAAAAATTATTTTTATAGGCAGGTTACTAAGATAAAATATATAAAATATTACATTTTCGATCTCGGGTGAAATACTAATATTCAGTTGAATGATGTATTAAATCAAATCAAAATCAAAATCAAAATAATATTTCGTTTGTCACCGATGGTTTTGTTAAAAACAATTAAAATTAAGTAAAAACCAACGCCTTTATAATATAATTTTGTTTTGTATTTTTATCTTTTTTATCCCCAACCAAAATCTTAGGTACCCTAGCTAGCTGGTAACTAAAACACTTTGTCAAACAATAACCCTCCCTTTGTTGAACAATAATAAACTCACACAGTCACACCTAACATCACAATATATAATAATTAATATTTTTATTTGTATGAGTTTATAGTTTGAAAATCGTTTAAACTCTAATAACTCAATACTTATAGCACACTTAAAGTATATTATGCTTAATTTGTTATAGGCGTTTATGAGAAGTTTCGCTTTAATTATAATCCGTGAGTTGTAGGTAGTTACTTACTTGTTTTAAATTCTTACTATGGAAATAATACAATTGAAATGTTTTCTTCTTTGTGATTGTTCATTATTCGACGATTATGTTAATTGGTACGCATAATAATATATATATTACATTTATACATACATATTATTTGTGTTTATCTGCATAACTAAAACGTAAAATTCAAATATCTCAGCCGAAAAATTGAAGCGGGTCTTAAATACTGCAATAAAAAGCGTATAAACACGGTATTCGCGCTTTGATTAAAGAGAAAAAAAAACACTGACAGTTTTTTTTTAATCTGACACACATGAATTGCACAAATTCCATTTATACAATATTTCAGTTTTTGAAATCCCATGTAGGTCATTCGGATTTTTTGCTAAATCACAATAATATTATTATTATATTATATTATTTTGCGAATATAATTTTACAAATGAATGGAATTTGCACGTTTAATCGCAGTCGAATGTACCTGCGATACATGTGTATAATAATATATATTGTATTATAATATCGAGATATTGGAAACACGTCGAAAACGTAGGAAATAAAGGGGTAAAAAAACGTTGGAAATTTGTTGAATACAATTTTTTTTCATCAAAATCTAATTTTACCGTATGATATGCGCAGTTGCATACATATCTATCGGCTTAAATGGACTCGATAATCCTCACTTGTATTATTACAAAGATATTATCTTATATTGTTATAATTTTTAATACCATGGACGGTGTTATTTCTTTGTCCGCACAAAAGGTTAACGGTCTTGGGCTGCGCAATGCACACGGTCAGTTCGGAAGTGCTGCCGTCCTCGACGTCCGAAGTTTCCGGTTTCCGGATGATGTTCAACGCGTACAGACAGTGTTCGGACCAATCGGAAATGGTCGTGTGCTTGAAAAGTCGGGCGCTCAGGATGCTGGACAGAGCCATCCACATGGAAAACATTCAAATAACTGACGGTAACCATCGGACATTGCATTTAAAATAACTATTAATCGTTTAGGTGGTAAAATATGGTAAGTACAATATCCAACCTGCGATGTATTATCAGTCGAAGCTTTTCCAATGTTCAAGACAGGATAGACAGGAGTACAGGATCCCATAAAATGATTATATTTGATCGAAGATCCAAATGGTTTTCGTTTGGATTATAACAGTACACTATTGCATGGTACAAAATTGATTATTTTAGATTTTTACGAAGGTGTCTAGCGTGGCGCTAATGTTTATTGGTACTTTGTTTCATTTTTATTATGCAGACGTATTAATACGATGCGTTAAGTTTACTGTGCACGAATTATTGTTTTACATTTAAAAACGAAAATACCACGTATAAATGTCAGGTGCATGTAAATTTTCTTTTCCAATGAATTTCAACTGTAAAACGTTGTTCAATTTCACGCGTGTTAAGACATGTGCGGTTTCACTTTTGTTCAAAGACACGACGCGTCTGCTAATGGTGGAGACATCGAGTTTGATTGTACTTTTATAATGTATTTAAACGATCTAATTTCGACAAAATTATTTAATATAATTCAAACAAAATACGTACTTATGGTGGCGACATTTGACATAATATTTGACAAACGAAATCGAGATCGTTAATACTGTACCTATTATTATTTTAGGCATATCTCTGGTGAAAAATCTGAAAACATGGCAGATCGTTGGAGGTTGACAACAGTGAGTGGCTGAAATGTGATACCCGAGAACTCAGCCGATTTCGGTAAACAAGTGGACTCGATGTTGTACGAAAAACTGTCCAGGTTCGCCAGGTCAAGATCGCTTCAGCTGTCCATGCACAGCAGATGTTCGAAAGGCAGGGACCTCGATGACGGTGTGTACTTGACTGGTAATGTAACATCAGCGTACAATATACTTTTGACATTGTATATAGCGTGCTTAAACATAATAACATAATATTAACATATTTTATGAGTCGTTAAAAATCAAAAGCTTGTAGTATAATCTACACCACCGTGGCTAGTCAAAATATCCATCTTCAGCACATTGCAAATTAATTTTAGTCTTAATAATGTTAATTTAACATCTTTGAGATTTACACATCTCGGGACCAGAGTGCACTTCCTTGTGCTCACGACACATACAATTCGGTCATGCCATATCCAAAGTCAGTCAGGTTTCAACCACATTAGAAGTTTAATCCGATTCATTAATAATATGTCCTCTAAACACATGTACGAAATGTGGAGTTAAACCAGAAATACAACTATTACTTCAAAATGGTTACCTGTAATTGGTATAGTACTTAATCATGTTTCGTATCTCTTTTTTTATCATTCATTCACCACTTGAAATTTCGGAATCGGCATTCAGCCAGCTCACTGGGATTTTACCGTTCCTGGTTATTGCCATTACCAGATTCAAACCTTAATTACCCAAGTTAGCATGTGTACGATAACGGTTAGAGATCTAGAAGTTTAGAAAGTCAAGTTTTAGAAAAATATTCACATTGAAAAATCGTATTTTATAAATAGACAATATTGACTATTTAATAAAATATTTAGAAATTACTATAATGCATATTACTAAAAATATAATTTAAATGCTAAAATATATAAAAAAAAAAATGAACAATAGAAAAAAAATTGCTTAAATAATATTAGGTACCCACGTTGTAATCGTATTATAAAAATATGCATAGGCAAGACGTCCAAGTTAAATTAAATACATACCCCGCCGTCCAACCCTTAAACGACTTTTCAAAAACTCAATTTTAAACCTCGATTTTTTTTTTAAACATTTTTTCTTGTATGGTTTATGTTTCGTTCTCCGTCGATTTTCTGGGCACGCAGGCCGCAAGAAGAAAAAGGACAAGGGCGGTCAGGTGTACCTGATGATGCTCAAAGGAGGTCTGCTGGCCATGGCGTACAAAGGTCTGGCGCTGTTGGCCGGCAAGGCGCTGTTGGTGAGCAAGATCGCTCTCACTCTGGCCATTTTGGTGGCGTTCAAGAAGCTGTTCAGCGGCGGCGGTGGCCACGGTGGATCGTCCAAGACCACGTACGAGATCGTCAAGCAGCCGGTGATGACGCACTCGCATCAGTACGCCGCACCCGGCGCCGCCGACACGTTCGGCAGCTACGACAACAGCGGACCCTACGCCCGGAGCATCGCCCAGCCGGACGTCGTGCCGTACCCGCAGCTGGCCGCGTACAGGGCCCACGTCAGAGGCATCGGTGGCGGTGGAGGCGGTGGAGGCGGAGGTCCCATGGTCATGTCGTCCGCTGCCTCGTCACAGTCTGCCGTGTCCGGGGGAGTGCAACACGAATCGGGTCAGAGGGACGAAGCGCTCTGAAGACCCGTCGACCGAACCCATCGCGGCTGACCCTACCACAGCCACCCACATATTGTCGACTTCATCATGAGGAATAATATTATGATATCGTTTTTAGCGTCCCGGGAACCCGTCTAAGACTTCGTAATTGAATACCGTTCATTACACCTTATTATCATTATTATTATATCATTATAAATTATTTATTTATTTATTTTATTATTTTCTATTTACATTATATTATACATCATATTGTATAAACGTATATATTTTTTGTTTTTACATAATACTATAAATTATTTCTTTCCATTCGCATATTATATTTTATTATATTATTAATAACTGATTGTGCTCAATGTTGTGTGTCGTACAATATTTTTATATTTTATTTAAGATTAAGAAGAATAAACAAATTGAATACAAAAACAACCATTTCACGTTATTAACGCGTCCGATTTTTGTGGACGCGTCACTCAGTATGTTTAATATTTGTTTATCGATATTTATATATATTCTCATAGATCCTCACAATATTCATTAATGTCTAAACTATAGTACCTAAGATAAGGAAAAAAAACGGACTTTTATTAAGTTATATTTTATAGAGATCAAACATATAGATGATTTTGTAACTATCCAGTTAATCCATAAAATGTCAAACTAGATGGTGCGCTATAACGTAAGTTTCAATGACGATGATAAAATAATTAGTAAGTAATACATATAGTTATACGTAAGAATGGGTCAGTTCTAGAAAATCATCGGTTATGGTTCGTGTCCGATTCCTCAAATTTTACTTTTGGTTATCGAAACCAAGGGTTCTGATTCTTGTTTTAAACATTACAAAAAAAAAAAGAATTAACAATAAAATAATGCATTTATACAAGCCTGGGCATAAACAAGTTAAAAAGTTAAAGTTGAGTTGAAAGTTAAGTTAATTTTAACTTTTTAACTAAATTTTTAAAATTTAATTTTCATTAACTTAATTTTAAACTTAACTGTTTTTATTGATATAAACTTAATAAATAACGAGTTACTTATTCAACAAATTCAAGTTATAAATTCAAGTTACGACAATTTATAAATAATTAAATAATAAATATAACACAATTATAATTGATGATACATGTTGCACAAACATTTACTTTTTATTATTTTAAACCATAATATTACTGGCTATTAATAAATTAAAAAAATAAATAAATAACTTAAATTAAATTTATAAGTTAACTGTAAGTTTCCATATAACTATTAAATTAACTGAGTTAAGAAAAAAATTAGGATACCTAACTATTAACTAGAATCTTCATAAAATATTTTATATCAACTTAACTTAACTCAATTAAAAATTATTATTAACTTGCCCAGGCTTGCATTTATACAGCACTTTAATATGAATTTAGGAGAGATAAACAATAATCATAAATTAATATTTATTTATTTATATTATAATACATTTATCATAGTACCTTTTTATTTAGGTATTTAGATTTTTATTATAACCAACATTTAATCAGACCTAAATGAAAAAAAAAATTATTTCTTAATAAAACTTAAAAGTTGAAGATACGTAAAAGGAGCACAAAACACAAAAAAAAAATGGTTTTTTTTAATTTGAAAGAATGTTCCATTCTTAGAATAATGGTATGGTTTTAACGTTCCTACTTACATTAGGTATTCAATGAGTTACGAGCAATTGAAAAAATACGCGTGACGTCATTGGACCGAGTTTGCTGTAATTGCCAATGTTATACGTGTAAATGTTACTCGCTTGAACGCTTCACACAATAATTTACCTACCTTTAAAGTATATTTTCTAATTTTTATTGTACGTATGTGGTGTGTGTATTTTATGTAATTGAAACGTTAGTGGAATTAGAATATTTCTAAAGTGTTTAGTTTTCTTGAAATATTTAAAATGCCTATCAAAATAAATTGATGGACTATCCCGTTCTTAACTCCAATGTAACGAAAATATATATTAATTGTTTTTAATATTAATATAAAACCGGACGTTAAATTAAAACTCTAATATTTCTATCGTCTTTAACGCATACAATCACATATTTCTACAAAAATAGGTATATCATTGTGTAAAACGAGCAACTTTAAGTTTTAACAAGTAAGATAGGTGATTATATCGAGCCCAGCCAAGTGACATTACGCAATTATTCTAGATTTATCAATTTCTCTTTAAATAAAATTATTTTTAGATTGGATTTTGACAACATTGATTTTAGAACTGTCCCGACTATAATGATTTGGTGTTTAATAATAATAAATTCGAAGAAATTTGTTTTGTGTGTGTGTGAGATCTTTTAAGTTTTTGTTAACTTAATTAAAAAACTAAAAAATTTACTAAAAATATCTATTATAAATACTAGTTTAGATCTGCTGAAATTGTTGACAACTTAAATGGGTTTTATGATATCATTATCTCACCCTGCAGAGTTGCATAATATTAATAATCTGTTATCCACATTTATTTTAAATGAATTATTTAGGTACATAATTTTCAAACTGTGGTACAAGGATACATCGTGGTATGGAAAAGGCCGTGTTATAGTACGGTGACGGAATGGAAAATCGATAAATTATTAATATTTTTACTTATTAAGTTTGTAACGGATCAAACATAATTTTATGTTTTGGGTAAATAGGTAATAAACAGTATATTATATTGTTAAATGTAGCTAAATTATTATTTTTATACATTATTATTATATTGCAATTTTGAAAACAATTTATTTATCTGACTAAAAATTAATTCTACCACGAAGGTTTTTATGAGATTTCATATAGTACCTATATACATCTTTTTGATTTTTCTTTCATTATGGACCAGATTAAAATGAAGATAACAATGGTCCCACACCTAAAAAGTTATTGAAAATTATCCAGTTTCAGATAATAAATATGACGTAACCTAAATTATTAAGTAAATTACGTAATTAAGTAATATTAAGGTAATAGAACACAACATTTATATTTGTATATCACGGAGCGTTGTATATGCAATTTTAACACAAGGCATAGGTTATGTTATAAAATATGTAGCAATATCATTAATTATCAAAGATTGCATTCTCTACATTGAAATATTTTTTAAAAACTCAAAGAAAGAAAAAGCAACGTTAAACTTAAAATATTTATCTGTGATTTCAAGAGCTAATTAATAGAGGTGATGTATTATTATGCTTGAGATAAATGCGTTATTCTTATAACAATGTGTTTGTTAATTTAATGTTTTTAATTTTTAATGTTCTTGAACAATGTTTTAGTAGTGGGAATCACTGTAATATACTTAAATTATAACAATTTGTTATACAACTATTATATTTTTCACAAAAATTATACTGTCATATTACAAGCGGTTAATATTGTAATTGGTAGGTAAATTAATTTACGGTATAATATACTTATGTATTTATTATTATTACTACTATTAATATGCAGGTCCATTTTTATTATTGAAATACATCGACGTAATAAAATCATATAGTTAATAATTAGAATTTGATCTTTCAGATAATGTATAGAATGTTTTCGACCAGTGCTTCTCAAACTGAGGGCCGTAGCTATATCACGTGGAGCCGTGAAATATTTATTTAATTTAAATTGTTTGTTTTTCAACGTTTATAAAAAAAAAAAGTCCACTTTAAAGTCACGCTATTTATAGATATGAGGTATTTTAGATTTTTATAAAACTTCCGCATGCTCGATAACTACTGTACAGCTAAGTTATACCCATCATTCACCTTTTTTTAATGACGAATATTGAAAGAAAATATTAAATATCAAAATACCACAACTTATCTGTTACGACGGATATTGAACAAAAACAAAACGTACTAAATATCATAACAGTGGTACTATAATATATAGTCGTCGTATCGGGTTTACTACCCTGTTCGGCGTGTCGGCAGCCGGCGACTGCCATTTAAAGCTGAGTGCTCAGAAAGAGGCTCAAGTGGACGTAAGCGACACAACCTGCACAGCGGCCAGCAACTCCAGTCTCGAGCGGTCATCGAAATCCGTGGCTGATTTACGGTATTGGAGCTGCAAGGCCGCACATAGTTGTACCATGACGATGTGGCCTTGACAGCGTCATCCAACAGGCGTTCGTGAGATCGCACACTGACGGCAAGGTACACGTTAGAATGGCAGACTTCGCATCTCTACCATCGTGGTTATAGGCGGTCGCTCTGGAGCCCGGTCTGGGTTACCACAGTATTGGACGGTGATCTTAGGCTGACGTCGGCCCCCCTTACACGGAGGACAGCCGAGACTTGGCGACGGCGATGGGGAAAGTCGACGATCCCTATTTCTGCTGATCCTCGAATGACGCTGCCATTTCAAATTTGAACGGTACATGATGGTACAGGAACAGTGCCAGACGCTGGATGACGCATTTCTCTGGAAAATTACAAGGAGATTGTTGTAATTATTTTATACAATGTTGGATTTAAACTACGAATGAGTTAGAACATTCCATTTAAGTACTATAAGTACTATAATAATAAAAACCATACCTACGTATCTATTGACTTTTTTTTTATTAACCTTAGACCCGGCGACTACGGCTATTAGCTGTTGTTGGGGTGAACTGTGGTTGGTAAGATTGGTACGGTTGTTACGGTAGGTAAGCAACACTCGTGTATGTGTGGAAAGGTTCTTACTACTACGAACCCGGGTGGTCCCCCATCCGGGAACTAGTAGCAGCGGATGTTACTTATTCTCAGTCACATTGCGCGGCTGGTAGCAGCCAACCCCTTATTAGGGCTAGGATTAAATATTTTTATTTACGATTTATGAGTCAGTTCTATGCATGCACAAAATATTCCATCACAGTATAAATTACATTAAAAAGAATCACCTCTCTGCAATTATCATATTAATATTTTTTGTTTGAGAATTTAATATATACAATTCAAATTAAATTAACTAAATCATTCTTAATTCTTATAGATTATTTATAACAAAATAATAAAAAGTAAAGATTAAACAACTATAATTGCAAC